ACCTAAAAATAAGAATTGTGTTTTTGTTACCTTAGAATGAGCTGTTTTATCTACAGAGGGAGCAGGTCCTCTTCTACAGAGTCCACCATGTTGAACCGCCATGATTCTACTGTAGCCCAGAACGGACAAACCAAACACTGACGGCAGATAGGGTATTTTGATGTATTTTTGTGATTTTCACAGCCACCGTAGTTTCTCCTACAAACTTCACAGTCTGTTCTCATTCCCAAGTGGTCAAATAAAGACACGAGCTGTGTTTAGCAGTTAAGAATCTCATTTTATTCATCATACTTTAGAATGAGAAAAAATAACTGCATTTAGCAGGAGGAAGAGATTCTGAAAATGTATTTGTGACCTAAATAAAATCCCCCACGACCCATATGTGGGTCATGACCCTGTGTCTGGGAACTATTGACTTAAACCATTAGTTCCCAGCCTTTTTCCTTAAGGGAGCCCTTTTCTATCATGTAACAAACTCATGACCCCTGACTAAGTGACACATAGATTTTATTTTATTTCATATTATATTAAAAACTGTACAATGAATCCAAACAGTGAACAGTTTGTGTAAAACAAGTGATTTAGATTCATTTTAAGCAGAGAAGTTCCTGCTTAGAAAACTTTTTACACAATTCTCTGTCTGTAGTATCATTATTATTATTATAACAACAATATTCAATACTTAATAGGCTTCTGTTTTTGACAAATTTAGTGACTGATCTAGTCTCTGGTGCTTGGCCTTTGTACTATTAGGCGATTTCCTTTACTTTTCTTCTCAAACTTAAACAAAATGTTGAGATACAGCCTACTGTTCATATTTTTTAAGTTTTTCTTAAACGCCTTAAAATCAAGAAGGCGTTGTGACCCCCAGGTAGAACCACTGACTTAAACCATTACTCAATTTATCAATAGCTGCCAATTACACTACATAACATTACATGTGATCTTCTTCATTTAATGTGCACATAATAAAACTACACAAAGACATAACATTTAAAACAGATTTTTCTTATTTGTGAATACTTCATGAAAGCAGACACATTCCTCATCAAAATATCAATATCCTTTAACTTGAAGCTGTGATATTTCTAGTTATCACTTCACCTGGCTAATACCTTACGCCTGCATTTGTAATAGCATATTCGCTCTAACCTGACATGCTGTACAATGGCAGCTGACTGCAGGTACACATGCAAACACCTTTAGCGTTTCTAACAACTGTTAGCTGAAGTTAAGAGCCCAGCAGTGTCCTGTGACCTTTGTTCCACTTTCTGCTAGCATAGCCAGCTAGCACAGCTAACAACCGACAGGGAGATAAGTTGTTACGTTGAAGACATTCCGTTGCAAAATAACGAAGCATACAATGAAACTCTCTCCGCCATGTCCCCACACACGCAGGCATACCCGATAAACCGCACTTGTTCCTCAGCGCAGCTCTCAATGCCATCTTCACTCGCTCACACCATCGATGATTGACAACACTGCTTCTTCCTTTGTTTTTAATGCAGATTGGCAACCAGCTTTTAGAAGCATTAGCGCCACCATCCGCTTCAGAGTGTGAACCACAGACCGTACTGCTAATAAAAGTAGTAGGTTACTGTCAATAGGGAGAATGTTTTATTTGACAGAAGAGTTGTGTTATTATAGTTTTGTATTTTTTATTAGTTTTTTCATTTTTCATTTTCAGTTCAGATTCAGTTCATTTGTGAGTGGGTTTGCTTGTTTCGGTTTAATTTGTATTGGTTAAAAATGTTTTAGCTAAGTTTTGTTTTCATTGTTTTCAGTGATAGTTTTAGTTTTTTAACCGTTATTATTATATGATTCTAAACATATGCACCAATGCCTTCTTATGCTTGTTGTGTTGACAAATTTGATCAAATTGACAAAGACTAAAATGAAGGACATTTCCTATATATTTGATTTTAGTTAGTTTTGTAAGAACACAAAATTGTTTCAGTTAATTTTTGTGTTATTCTAAAGTTTTTATTTATATTTCAGTTAAGTAGAATATTTTTTCACGCCAAGCTAACTATAATATACCTTGGTATTCATACAGAAAGGGTCATTGTCTTCTTTCCTGTTCATATTTGTTACAGTCTATAGGTACATTTTCTATTGACTCCTCTACCTGCACTTCTTTGTTTCCCTTGAGATGTACATGGGCAGAACAGCTGCAGGACAGATTGGTTGTGTCTGGAAATGTACATTTAGAGCAGAAGAGCAGTGCAGGGGGTCATATTATTACAACTCTTGATAAATGATTTTAATTTATTCATGAGGCAGTAGATATTATACTTTTTTCTCCACTACGTTTATTTGAAAGCTATAGTTACTAGCTGGCTGCTGGCAGTAGTTTCATATTTACTGTACAGACACAGAATATGTATCAATCTTCTCATCTAACTCCCTGCAACAATGCAACTTTTATACACTAACTAACTAACAACTTATAGGAAATATATTAACAATTCTGGTAGTTTGGCTCCAACTGCACATGAGAAGCTCCACTTACCTCTACCTGAGCAGCATGGCTGGCCGTGATCTGTTGATATGTTATATACTATAGGGTACACACACTCACACACATTCACAAGCTATACCTGGTCCATGTATGTATGTTATAGTGATATAAAATATGATCTAAAAAAATACTGATGCTTTGAGTTGCAGTCACAGCACAAATTAAAAAGGGGGCCTGGTGCATTAGCGTCTTCTTAAAATTTTGTTCCAATAGTGGTTTTAAAAACCCCTCGTTGCCTGTAAGCTTTCTTCTATTACACTCAAAGGTCCTGTCTCACACAAAGTGTTCTTAGATTATTATTCTATTATTTCCACTGCAGAGTCGCAATGGAAGATCAAATTACACTGTGAGAAAATACACAATATTTTATGTCATAAGAATTATTGTAAAATCTGCAATTCTTTATTCCTCAGTATGGTGAAAGAATAAACCAGTGGTCCACAGCTTCTTATATAAAATCATTGTCTAGCTGGGGCCCCTTGTCAAGGTTCTGATATCTATGTGTGGTTTGTTCCACCAATAAGACATTTTTCATTTAAACATCTCACATGGTTTCATTTGAATAACTGTTAAAGGCCCAAGAAGGTAATTTTTCAAGATCTCATTAAAATAGTCCAAAACATGAATGGAACCTTTGTGTAGAAGACCTTTGCTCTCTCCTCTTTCCATCCACATTAAGGACTAGACACAACAGGATATAAAACAGAAACATTTACAGTGCATTCCATGGGAATCCCAGTAATTTGTTTGAGGAGAAGAGCAGAATTGAACTTGGATGAAAAGGTCTGACAGTCTCAAATGGAAGAAGCTATCAGAAGCTACCATCTTTTTATTTAACCTCCTCTGTCGGGGTATAAACAGCTCGACAGAAGAGACGTGGATAAAAATACATCATCACTCATTGTCCAATTAGCAACTGAGCTAAAGGTGGCATTATAAGTGTGTTGGTTTGTCCGTTCTGGGCTACTGTAGGAACAGGATGGTTCAACATAGCGGACTCTGTGGAAGTCGACCCACAGTGTTTGTAAAAACAGCTCATTATAAGGTAACAAAAACACAATGATTCTTATATTCAGTTGATTATACTCTAATGAAAACATACCTAATATTATATTCCATATCTGATAATAGATCCTCCTAAATGTTACACACTGGACCTTTAAATGGGAAATCGAATGCAGGGATTTTACATTGTGATGGCGTAATGTAAAACAGTTTAAAGGTCCAGTGTGTAACATTTAGGAAGATCTGTTGGCATAAATGGATTATAATATTCATAGGTATGTTTTCATGAGTGTATAATCACCTGAATATAAGGACTGTTGTGTTTTTGTTACCTTAGAATGAGCTGTTTTTATCTACAGAGGGAGCGAGTCCTCTTC